GAAGACATTTATCGAGCGTGTTGGATGTACCATTGTTCCGAGCTGCAAATATAGACTCGGACCACTAACTTGTCGCAGCAAACAGATACACGCGTTGGACATCACTAAGCTGCAATATTCCACAGCATATTCCACGCAACTGGCCAAATTTCTTGAACAAATAATTTCTCGTTCCGATAACATATCAACACAATGGAAGATTATTGCCAACTCCCGTTCACAAGAAATAATTGGACCATACCAATGCGGCTATAGACCTGGCAAGTCCACCATTGACTATATATATTTGCCCTGCGGTAAATCCTGGACAAGGCCCCTGAGATCGACACTTACCACCTTTTTGTCGATTATAAAGAAGCCTCGACCGCCCGCTACGTCCAAAAGTATTCCAAGCCATTTCTGAATCTGTTATCCCCGCATATCTCATCCCTTTGCGTCCATTGAGCTCGGACCCACTGTGGAAGTTGGTTCCTATAATATTGAGGTATTAAAAGGCTGATACCAAACATCATTCTTGTGGCGTGCAAATTACGAATGTGGGGACTATACGAATGTGTGGGGACTATAGCTATCTATATATCTGAACCGATTTTCTACAAATTTGATGTACTTGCTTCAAGACTGTATTCAGTTGTATATGCCAAAATTCAGGGCTTTTGGACAGATATTGGCCATTTGGCGCACAATTGGTTGAAGATATGTATAGGAGCTAAATCAAAATCTGAACCGATCTTGATAAAATTTGGCAGAGGTATTTCCGAGCTCTATAAGATATCTGGTACCAAATATCATTGTTGTCGAATGCATATTACGAATGTGAGGAACTTAAACACCAAATCGGATGAAACATATATATGGGAGCTATAGCTATATCTAAACCGATTTCCGAATTTGATGCATTTGCTTCCAGACTGAATTCGGTCGGATGTGCCAAAATGCATTGCATTTGGACTGATATTGGTCGTTTGGTGCACAAATAACCCTAAATCGGTTAAAGATATATATTGGAGGTATACCTAAATCTGATCCGATTATCACAATTTCAATAGGGTTCGACCTTGGGCTAAAGATATTGTTTGGAATTTCGTCTAAATCGGATAATAAATGCGACCTGCATTTTGCTCACAAGAATACATGTACAGACGGACGGACTAGCATGCATAAATCGACTCTGAAAGTGATTCTATGAAGATCCTCGAAAGTTACTGTGGGCTTACCACGATTCCTTCTCCATGTTACAAACAAATACACAAAGATATAATACCCTTACCACTATGTGGTGTAGGGTATAAAAATGAGAATTGTATTGACCACTTTGTCTAAAATAAGCAATTTAAAAACAAGGCCACAGCTCAACCAAAAATAACGCTTAGAAAACACTGATAATGTATGGTTCCGTGCTGATGTATGGTTCCGAAGCCTGGGTAATTGCGCAACAATACATGGCAGCGCTTGATGTGGTTGAGAGAAAAATTCTTCGAAAAATCTATGGACCAATCTGCTTTGACTGCCATACAACGACATCAGTGTAGATTCAACGATTGCATCGGCTAGGTAATATCGCAAGAATGAGCGATGATTAACCCGCTAAAAAGGCACATAAATACGGGCGCCTTGGCGGGGCACGCAGACCAAGAATTAGATGGAAGAAGAAGGCATGAATAACCGCGGTATTTCACAAAGTGAAACAATAGACAGATAGAAATGAATCTATTTTCTTAGTTCCGCCTTTGGAATATATGTTCTGTAATGGGCCAGCTAAGTAAGTTTGTATTTTATTATTTCCGAATGTAATTTCATAAAACTAAAGATCTATATGCAAAAAGTTAAGATTTTACTTATATGTGCTATTATTTTATAGTTACCTCTTCTGTAATTAAACATATATGCCCCGCACTGTTCTACTTGTTCATTTGGAATTGTATTCACCAAATTACATTTCAATATTGAATATTTATTTTTGGTTTACATTTTTTTCTAAAAAAAGGAACACCTGGTGATGTTAAAAAAGAACAACTATGCAAATCAAATAATCCTTCAAATGAATTGATTCACTTATTACATATCACCCGAACCATTCATTCGTGAGCCACCCTCCCCCCAACTGGATAAGGTAGTGTCATTTTTGTTGAGCCAAATACCTACCGTATTCAAAGTTTTATCAACGTTTCACATTCATTCTGACTTCATTCTGGACAGCAGACTGGTAGGCAGAGGGGGGAAAGGACATTCGAACGAACGATGTAAATATTTACACCCCCAGCATGCACACACACATACATCTATATTCATTCAAACATACAGGTGTATGCATGCTCTGTTGAGTTGTTTATCCTTTTCATGGAGGGCAATCAGTTATTGTCCATTCGTTAAGGACAACTAAGACAGGAGGACACTTGATGTAGCAGCAAATGTCAAACTAAAAAAAGTCAAAGCACATAAACACACTGACAGACTCAGCCACTCAAACTCACACACAAACAAACACCTATATTTGCATTTGTCCATCTTTTTTCCACTTCAGCTGCAATCAAATGCTTCAGCAATGGTTAGAAGCGACTGACCCAAAGGCTGAACGAACGATGATCCAAATGCAATTTTTTTCGTTTATTTAAGGTTAGTGTACATGTCATGTTACGACTCCAAATTGCTCTTTAAAAGTTTCATTGCATACTTTTAGGCTGTGACCAAATTTTTAAAAACATGTAAAAAAACATTAGGTTCTGCCTGGACGAACTTTTAATACACTCCACCTTTGGGTAAAGAAACCATTTTTATATAAAAGTATTTGAATTCAAATCGCTTGGCTAATGATGTTAAACTTTTTAAAAAACCATAAAGTGGGTGAGGCCGTCATATGGGGGTTATACCAAAACAGGAAACTTATTTAGAAAAATTTCTACTTCAAAGATTGTTATCTACCAAATCTTCTTAAAACCAAATTTGAAACAATTTCGTGGGTAAATGTGACTAGGATTATTAAAATGCCGAATATCGGTGAATACCATCATATGTGAGCTTAAGGAAAACTTAGACCTGTATGTACAATGTTCTGTCACCGGAGCTAGAACCCATTACGAACTACAAATACCAATTTTTGGGCAAATCCGTGGAAAAATGGGGCAAAAATCATCAAAACACCGAATATGGGGGTACCGTTATATGGGGGCTATACCAAAACGTGGACCTATATGTACAATCTTTTGCCACCGGAGCTGGAGCCCATTACGAACTACAAATACCATTTTTAAGACAAATCCATGGAAAAATGTGGCGAAAATCATCAAAATAAGCTTTCTCCATGTTACAAGCAAATACACAAAGACATAATACCCTGACCACAGGTGTAGGGTATAATCAGGTGTAGGGTATAATCAGATGTAACAACTTAATTGGGCAAATGTAGTGTTTTTGACGTATTATTTGCATAAAATTAGAAGGAAATATAAATCGGAGATAACAGAACTCGCAACGATATTTTTAAATGGCCGAAAGCCCTCGTTATGAAGTGTATAATACGAATTTGAGGGACTAAGATATAAAATCGAATGAATCATATATAGGAGCTATATCCAAATCTGAGCCAATTTCGTCAAAAATAGTCGAGGGTTTTTCTTGGCAGTATCTGAAATCATGTACCGAATATCATTGCAATGAATATACACGATGTGATGAAAAAACTGCAACCAACTTCATACTGCTGCAGTGACAGCTCAATATTGTTTACAAGCGTACAAAAGCATTTTGGTTAGAATTTACCAGAAAAAAGTTATTCGTGATGGAATTCAAACGTGATAGTGTGATTTCTTTATATTTGGCTGGAAAACCACAAGTGGCTGTCGTTAGAGCACTCCAGAATTTAAATGCGAATAAATCTTTTGTGTCTCTCACCATTGCTCGTTACTGTGGACGGAAGAAAACAGCAGCATCAGCAGAAATGGTTGGAAAAGTACAGAAGCGACTTGATCGAAATCCGCGTCGCAGTGGCCGACAAATGGCTAGTGAACTAACATATCGCAATATTCCATTAGGCAAATATTGAAAAATGAGCTCGGGGTAAAGCCATTGAAATTCCAAAAAGTACAAGAACTTACATCGCAACAGAAAGAAAATAGACTCAAAAGAGCTAAAGAGTTGCTTCGATTGGCCGAATATTTAGAATAAATGCCGAATATTATCGCGAAAATATTTAGAAGGTTTAATACACACTTCAGAATATTTTCGGGCAAACATTTTGGCCGCAGACTTTGGACATACCAACAAAACTCAGCACCATCGCGTGCCACCCAAGATTGGTTACAAAATGAGGTTCCTCGCTTCATTTCTAGCGCACAACGGTCACCAAAAACTCCGGATACCAATCCGTGGGACTATTGTGTCTGGAGTATTTTGAAAAGCAAGGTTGGCACTAAAAAATACTAAAGTGTCGATCACCTCAAGCAAGTGCTTCGCCGGGAATGGGCCAAAATACCGCAGAGCAACATTCGGGCAGCGCGTGACTGTTTCATGGCCTTTTGAAGGCCATAATTCGTGCCAAAGGTGACCATTTCGAACAAATCTAAACTTATTCTAAAATTTGAATATCTTTCCGAAATTTCATTCAATTCAATAAAAATTAAAAAATAAATAAATAAAAATTATGGCGTTTGACTTTGTTGCAGTTTTTTATCTCACCCTGAATATATTTACAGACTTATGGTTATATATTTTATTTAAGACTATCACCCATCAGTCTAAAATACATGCAATACCAATGTTCAAATACCTGGACAAATATTTACGTAATAAGACAATTGCTTTATGAGTATAGCTTATGAAGAAAATGGTTACGTTGATGCGCTTAGGCAATGAATTTTCAATATATCTTATAAAAATATTAAAAATAAAGAAACAAGTAACGAGTAACGAGACTTCTGTTTTTGAAGAAATCTTACAGTTGCATCATCTCATGTGCACTTTGCGATTTTCGAATGTTGACAAAATGTGTTCTCTGTACTTACCACATTTACGAAATCTTGAAATGTTACATAGCCTGGTCCAATGGGTGATTTAGCCTTTTTTGCTCTCTCCGTTAATAGCTCTCGTTTGTTCATAGGCACTTGTGATATAAATTCTGGTGACTTTAAAGCATTTAAAAACTCGTCGACGGTTATTTCACCAAATCCTTCAGGATCGAACTATAAAAGTAAATTACAGAAAATTAAAATCAAGATTACAAGATATATCATGATTAATATGTTCAACAACATAATTAACATGATTATCTATGTAATATTTATATTATGCTAAATTACAATGTTATGTTACAACGCATGTTATGTGTGGGGCGGTAGCATTGGCTTTTGTAACAGCGATCAATTTACGCTTTCACTCAATGGAGCAAATTAACTACGATTCCCTCTTGCTCTATAATAATGTTTCTTTTTATTTTATGAATGTATTAATGCACTCACGTACCGATTAACTTAACAATAGTTAGGCCCATTGTGCTTCTCTTACAAGATACCTATAATTGCAAATCAAAACAATAACTCAATTTGTTGTTGTATCATACCTTCTAACATATAATGATTGTTAAGCTGGTCATAGAATTTCTGTCTTAGGCTGTAGTATATATTTCGAACTTCAAATCCCAAATTTGAAACAATTCCGGTGAATAATGTCGCTAAATTCATCAAAATACTGGGAGGTACCGTTGTATGGGGGATATATGAAAACGTGGACCTACATGGCCCATTTACGAACTTAACCTACTGGCAAAATATACATGTGTGCAAAATTTTAGCCTTCTATCTCAATTCGTTCGAAAGATATCGTGATTACAACAGACAGACAGACGGACATCGCTAAATCGACTTAGAATTTTAAGCTGATCAAGAATATATATACTTTGTTTAGTCTGACATGAGTATTAGGAGTTACAAGCGTAATGACAAAGTTAATTACCCTCCATAGTATGGTGGAGGGTATAAAAATGAGCTTGCGTAAAGCCATTGAGTACAAGTACAAGAACTTACACCGCAACAGAAATAAAATAGACTCAAAAGAGCTAAAGAGTTGCTTCGCTTGGCCGAAAGTGGTGAACAGCCGAATTTGGTTATCTCCGATGAGAAAACATTCGTTGTCCAGCAGTTTGTAAACAAACAAAATGATCGTGTTTACTTGCCAAAGAGGTCAGCTGAACCTTCGGTTGGTCGCCAGAACTCTAGCGCCGGCCATGGTGATGGTGTGGGCCGCCATAACAACCGATGGTCACTCTCCGCTTGTATTAATCGACCGGGGAATCAGAGTAAATGCCGAATTCTCGCTTCATTTCCAGCGCACAATAGCCACCAAAATCTCCGGATACCAATCCCTTGGACTATTGTGTCTGGAGTATTTTGAAAAGCAACATTGGCACTAAAAAATACCAAAGTGCCGATCGCCTCAAGCAAGCGCTTCGCCAGGAATGGGTCAAAATACCGCACATTCGGGCAGCGTGTGACGGTTTCATTGGCCGTTTGAAGACCATAATTCATGCCAAAGGTGACCAATTCGAACAAATCTAAACTTATTCTAAAATCTATATATATATAAAAATCAATTGTTGTTTGTTGGTAAAGGAATCAGTTGAGAACGGGTGGATCGATTTAAATAATTTTTTGTACAAACATTCATCATACCCCGAGTTAGGTTTTTAGAGAAAAAATATTGACCACGACTACTTTTACGCCCACTATTTCGATTTGTCTAAAATCCTTATATTTTCCAAAATAATGAAGATATCGGTTTGAGAATTATTACACGAGATGCTGTTGGCTTTCCATCCAACCCTAAGTACTTATTTAGGGACTGAGGAACGCGCCTACTTTTAAATCTATCTCTCTGTATGTAAACATAAAGACCGCCGGTCTGATTTTAACGATTCGGACAAATTCGGAATTACCTCTTGGCAGAAAAGCATAAAATCCAAAAAAATCGCGTAAAAATGTGAAATATTGAACATTTTCATTTTGACTTTTAAAATGTACAATAGTAATGTTTTATTTTGCATGATTTTTTTTAATTTTGACTTACTATTTTCGAATGTACATTTGTAGTTTTTTTTTTTTTTTTTTGGAATTCTAATATGATGTTTAGTTTTTTTGGGTAGTATAAAACGGATAAAACTGTTATTTATAGAATTTATGTATTAATTGGGTAATACGAATAATATCATTTCAGAAGAGAATAAAATAGAAAATTCTAAAATCGGGAAAAATATAAAATTTTTCAATGAAATGGAATTTCAAAATAATAGTACATTCTACAGACACACTTCATAAGGACCTTTAAAAATTTGCCGTAAAAAAAAATCAGCGAACCAGTTGAAGATTATTTGTCTTTTTTCAATCCTTTTTTTTTTCTATATTGAAGTGTAAATTTCTTATTGTTTTTAATTCTGAATGAATAATATTAAAAACGAAATGAGTGTGTAATACGATGTTAAATGGCGATCTTTCATGTATAAAATTGGCATCTAGCTTTCAACTCCAGGACCTTCAGCTAGAAGATGCGAACACATTTATACAAACAAAAATGACCGGAAAAGCATTATGGGGTTCACTTCAAAAAATGGACCTGTTTCTTTCATATGACAATAATTCGTCCAATGAGAACTCAAAATGCAAAATACATTGCGACTGCAATCCGTGAAATACCGACTATAAAGGACACAAAATAGTAGAGCTAATTCCTTCCAGAATTTTTTTCCAAACATTCAAGATACCTTTAATAGCTTTAGTAGGTCATGATATGGGTCATAACCCCCGATAACGGAACAACCCGATTTCAAGTGTATTCTACATTTTAATCATATTTTTCGTACTAATTTTACCTTATGTTGATAATTAAAAAAAACATCCTCGCAAGAAATGATCACGTTTTAGTATCACCATCATATGATTTAAGGTATTTTCGGGGTCTTGGCCACTTTTTCCATTTTTTTGGCCCTTATTTGACATCTTTGTTTCTAAGGGGGAAGAAAACCTCTTCTCATAATTTATTTCTTTTTATTTATTTTTCGGAAAAGGGCCCATCTTAGTCTTGAGGCTACATTGGGTAAAAAACCCTGAGGTAGAAAACCATCTTACAGATAATTATCCACATATGCATTTATTTAAGTATAGTCCCCACATTAGTATACCCCCAAGTCCACTTTCTCAACCAATGTGTGGAATTTGAATTTGTAACCCCCAAGAGAATATTGGTTGGGAACGTAGATTTGGGATGTACGTCTATATGAAATAAACTCCGAAATGTCAATCCGGGACTTATTCAGTCGGAAATTGTGACAGAAACATGAAAAAAATACGAAATTAGAAAGTAACACGAGACCGAACATTTCTTTAATCGTCATTGAATTACACTACGATGAAAAATGTGGACTTTATTGGATCTCCATCGCACAATTTAAATGACAAAAAATTTATGCCCAAAAGAGTTTTTTTTTTTTGGCTATTCTGACAACATTCTACCTTCAAGTATGACGTGAACAAAACTAAATACCAAGCAGTACGGGATTTTAAACGTTGCAAATACAAATTCGAAATTATAGATCATTTGAATGAAAATGTGATATTATAGATGTTCTTTATCATAAAGGTATTTAACACAAAAATTAATTTCTATTTAGTCATGGAGTCATTACTTATAATGAAAATTGTGCCGCTTACATAAGTCAGATCTGTGATTTATTATGCTTTAAAAATGCGCATTAAAGACTAAAAGTACGGGCCGGCAACGCGGACTGGGCCAGCTAGTTTTATTATATTTCCGACATTTTTTGTCTGAATCGGAATCTGTTGTAAACGGCTGGACCGATTTGCATAATTTTTTGTACAAACGTTTGTCATACCCGAGTTAGGTTTTTAAAGAAAAAAATATTGATCACGCCTCCTTTTACGCCCACTATATCGATTTATCTAAAATCCTTATTTTTCCCAAATAAACAAGATATTGCTTTAAAAATGTTTACACGAGATACTGTTGACCTTCCCTCCCAACCCTAAGTATTTGTTTGGGGGCTGAGGAACTGACCACGCATACTTTTTAATTTATCTATACATCTATATATAAATTAAAGTTGTGTTAGTTACTACGCTTATAACTTAAGAACCGTTGAACTGATTTTAATGATTCATACAAATTGAATTGTCTCTTATCCGAAAAGGATAATATCCAAAAAAATCGCGTAAAAATGTACATGTACATTTGTAGCGTTTTTTATATTTTATTTTTGAATTCGAATATTAATACCAATTTATTTAATTTACTTGATTTCTTGAGAACTGAAATTGATGGCGGGTTACATGGAAGTGTAATACCGAATCATGTGGTGGCGAAACGGAATAGATGATACCGAAATAATTTAATGCGGTCACACCAAAGTTAAAAGATAATTACTTTTTCAAAATCGTTAAAAAAAAATCCCGAACAAAGAGATCTCATTGCAACAATTCTCAAAACGGGAAAATATCGAAAAAAATTTCCAATGGAATTGAATTTTAAAACAAAAGTACATTCTATTGACAAACTTTGTAAGGATCTTTAAACAGTTGCTGTAAAAAATCAGCGAACAAGTTGAAGATTTTTTCAATTTGTTATTCTTTTGTGTCATTTTTTTTTCTATTTGTAATATCATATTGAATTCAGTGGATTTTTTGTGAACAAAATAAAGAATTATTTTTCACTATATACAATTTTTCACCAAAAAAAAAATGAAATAAGTGCGAAATACGATGGTAACTGACATCTACCTTTCAACTCCAGGGCCTACATCGTGCTTCAGCTGGAAGATGCGCAGACATTTAAACAAATAAAAATGACCGAAAAAGACTGATGGGGCTTATTTCAAAGCGTGGCCCTACTTCTTTCATGTGACAATAATCCGTCCAATGAGAGCTCAAAATGCAAAAATTTTTGGGAGTACAATCAGTAAAATACCAAATATAAAGGGAGCAAAATAGTAGAGCGAATGGGACTTTTAGTAAGAAAAGGATTTCTATTCTTCCAAAAATTCTTCCTGAACATTTAAGATACCTTAAATCGCTTTTGCAGGTCATGATATCGATCATAAATAACCATCGTATGATTTAAGCCATTTTTGGAGTCTTCGCCACTTTCTTCTATTTTTGGCCCTTATTTGGCATCTTTGTTTCTAAGGGGGTAGAGAACCTCTTCGCATAAGATTTTCGGAGTAGGGCCCATATTGGTCTTGACCACTAAAAAATTGTATTTATGCTACCCTGGGGTAAAGAACCATCGTACAGATAATTGCCACATATAAATTTATTCATGTAAAGTCCCCACATTGGAGTATCCCCAAGTCCATTTTCACATCTAATGTGTGGTAAGAAAAGAAAAATTTGTATTCTATTGAATTTGTAACCCCCAAAAGAATATTGGTTGGGAACGTAGATTTGGGATATACACCTATATGAAATAAATTGTGAAAACATGAACATATTACAAATATAAGAAAGTAGCACGGGACCGAATATTTGTTGAATCGTCATTGAATTATACTATGATGAAAAATATGGACTTTATGGAGTCTCCAATTTACAATTTAAATGACAAATAAAATTAGTTCCCATATTACGGTAATGGGAGTAAAATAGTAATTACATTTGACTATTCTGAAATCAGTCTGACCTCAATTATGAGGTGGATAAAACTATTTTTACTTATTTAAATAACGTGATTTTTTTTCAGTTTGACATGCTATGTTGTTCTGCTATATTTTCGATTTGGCCTTTATTTGTCATCTTGGATTATAAGGGGTGAAGAAAGTTTTCAATGTAGGTCGATGTTTCGCATTTTACCATATTTCAAAGGATTTGGCTAAAAATGTGTATTTGGGGGTGAAAATCTTACACAAAAATTTCAACATATCTACAAATTTTAGAATTTTCTCCATGTAATAGTACCCCCTCAAGTCCACCTTTTGGCGGACAAACAGACCGACATAGTTAGGGCGACTTATGAGGACTCTAATGCACAATCAGAGGTGCTAATGGGTTTAAAAAAGTAATAAACTTTGCCTATTCTTAAATCAATTAGCCCTCAATTATGAGTTGTACAAAGTACAGTAAATTCCAAATTACTGCTCATTTGACTTAAAATTAAAAACTAATCGACCAGTACGTGAACATTTATAACATTCATATCTTTGAATAATTATGCTTTGACAAATATGCATAATAGACAAAAACTACGGTCCGGCAACGCGGACCGGGCCAGCTAGTATATATATATATAAATATTAAAATGCTTTTTGACAAATTAAATAAACCTCTCCATAAAATTGTTTCAAAAGAAACACAATCACAAAATGATTTGAAAATGTTTCCTCTGCTATAGAATCATAAAATATGTATTAAATATACATACACATTGAACATAATTAAAAACTTACCATATCAAATAACAGTTTCCATTTCTGAAAATAGATTGAAAATACATGTCAATACAATAATGAAATTGAATATTGCATAAATATTGTAGTTATATGGAGGATGCTAGCAGCACTTTTTTGCCTGCTGCAGATAAACACTTTCATTGTAATTTATTTTTTAGCAGCTAGTTTAAAATTAAGAATTGAATTTGAACTTAAAACCAGTAAAGAAAATCTAAAAGTCAGGAGGGTCCGACTTTATGGTAGCCCACATCCCTTTGCATCTTTAGTAGAGCTTTATATAACAAATAAAAAATAACAAGTTAAAAAGCAGCTAAGTTCGGCGGGCAGAACTTTTAATACCCTCCACCATTTGGAAAGAATTTGAAAAATGTGAAAAAAAAAACTTCCGAAAACTACCACTTAAATAAAAACTGTTATATGCAGACTATACGAAGACGTGGACCTGCTTACGAAGTTTTTTGTCATAGGAAGACGTGGACCTTCATACAAAAATGTTTGTCATAGGCTGTAGCACCCATTACGAACTTCAAATACAGAATTTGAAACAATTCCGGAAAATAGTGTCGCCTTAAAATATGAAAATACGAGGGGCTATACGAAAAAGTGGACCGACATGGCCCATTTACGAACTTAACCTGCCTACTGGTAAACTATACAAGAGACAGACATACGGCTAGATCGTCTTAGAATTTTACGCTGATCCGGAATATATATACTTTGTTGTGTCTATTATGAATATTTCGAAGAGTTACAAACGGAATGACATAGCTAATGTACCCTCCATAGAATGGTGCAAGTTATAAAAATATATAACAAATCAGATGAACAATATATGTGGGAGCTATAGCTATAACTGAACCGATTTTCACCAAATTTGACATTTCTTGTTTCTATGCTCAATTTGGTGATAAGTGCTAAATTTCACCGCATTAGATCTAATAGTACACGTTTGGTACACAATAAAACGCAAATCGGAAAAAGATATATATGGGAGTTTTATCTAAATTCTGTCCGATTATTTCCAATTTCAATAGTGTTCGTCCTTGGGTCAAACAAATGACTTGGATCGGGAAATAAATAAATGCGAACGGTATTTTTTTCACAAAAATACAAGGACAGACAGACGGTCGGGCATGCATAAGTCGACAAACAAATGCACAAAAACATAATAAAAAATTATTAAATTTAAAAATTATTTATTTTTTAAAAACTTTTCAGAGTTTGAGATATGAGATAAAATCCATTTATATTAAACATTGAGAAGTTCGCCATAGGGGATGTACTTGAGGTCTATGTAAAATTAAAATCTCATAAATTCAAAAGAGTACAAACAAATTTAACTGCAAATTACCAGGCAGCTTCTACTAAATAAGTAATTCTCTCAGAGCTTTCTGGGCAAAGTAATTCTCTTAGATCTCTCTCTGCAATTAGAACATATTTTCAAGTTTATCGTATGAGATGTCGTTACTTCATTGAAGTACACACGTTTCGAGACATCTTTAGAGAAATGCGAACAACTGATCCGAGGAGTGGCAAATGATTAGCAAATGAACATGATACTACTTGCCAAACCTTCACCTCTCCTCGGAAATTTTTATTTCATTTCTGTAAAGCAGCCTCTAAAACTCCGATCCGCTGGATGGGTTGTTATCGGAAGCGAAAATTGTTTATTGTTATTCGCATGTTCATAAAAGTGCAAAGGGCTAAAACAGATCAAAACTTAAATCATGACTTTGGCTTGAAAACACAACAGAGGAGAGTGTCACAGTTCATCAGACATAGTGTCACCCGGTTTGATAAAGGACATAAACTGGCAGCCCGTCACATATCTTAGATCCGACCATCACCCGATAATCGTCTCTATAAGCAGACCGCCCGTTTGTGAGCGGCCCAGAATTAGTGAGTAGACGGTGGAAGTCAACTGGTTGGTACAGGAACATAAGAGGAAAAAGTGACTAGACCATCTTAAGGTTTTGCAACATCGGAACTAGGATAACAGGACCTCAGTCCCTTTAAACGACGTAACGGTGACTGATCCGTTGAATATTTTAACCGACAATTTTTCGAGAACCCCTAGAGCGATAGGGCGAAGCGAAGAGTACTACGTCGTATCAGATCTCTTCCCGTCCGAAACGCGAAGTTTATCCAAAGCGTTGGGCCCACATGGTATCTCAATGATTAAGTTGAAACAGATGGGTACGGCGGACGTTGAGTTCCTGACAAAAGTTCTCAACCTATCGCTAGCCACCCACATCGCTCCCAAAGCCTGGAAAATGGGCATGGTGGTCCCGCTACTAAAGTCAGGCAAGGATGCCAGCAAAGGCGCATCATACAGGCCAATTTCGCTTTTGTCGCCTGTATCAAAGACTCTTGAGGCTTTTCTCCTCCCCAGCATCAGAGAAATCTATCCAGTTGCCAACCATCAGCACCACGACAGCATTGCACGCCATATCGAACATATCGGACGAGGATTAAACCAGGTTTTAGGATGTAGAGAGAACTGCCCTCCGCCCAAGTTTGAATCATTGGATAATCAACATTACCTGCTTGGGTGTAATCGTGAGATTAATTCAAACCATCATATAATGAATAATACTCTCTCACCCAGGCGTGTCAGGAAGAACAAACATGATCTAGAGTGGAACCTCCAACGTAACAAGAGAGAGCCTCTAGATCAAGAAACCTATCAGGTAGGACTGAGAGGCATTCATACGGAACCAATCAGAGATAACAATTAAAAGTTTTTATGGGAGAATTCAATCATAGACGCTATGATTACAATTATAATTTTAAGTTCAAAGGACTAATTATGCCGAAGCATTTGTATCTTTTAAATTCGTACTTGTATTGCCCATTTGGTGCAAAAATATATCCAAATCTGAACCGATCTCGATAAAATTTGGCAAAGATATTTCTGAGCTGTTTTTGATATATTTCCCAGATTATCGTTGTCACGGAGTGCTTTTACGGTTGTGGGTAACAAATATAACAAATCGGATGAACAATATATATGGAAGCTATAGTCTTATCTGAACCGATCTTCACCAAATTTAACATACTAGCTTCTAGACTCAATTCGGTCGTAAGTGCTAAATTCTATCTCATTTAGACAAAAATTAGACGTTTGGTGCACAATAAAATGTTAATCGTACGAAGTTATATATGGGAGCTATATCCAAATCTGAACCGATCTCGATAAAATTTGGCAAATGTATTTCTGAGCTGTATTTGATATATTTCCCCAAAATATTGTTGTTGCGGAGTGCATATTACGGCTGCAGAGGACAAAAATAACGAATCGGATGAACAATATGTATGGGAGCTATAGTTATACCTGAACCGATTTCGATCAAATTATACTTATTTTTAGGCCTAATTTGGGTGTATATGCAAAATTCCATACAATTCGGACTGATATTACACGTTCGGTGCACAATAAAAGGCAAATCGGACGAACATATATATGGGAGCTATACCTAAATTTTTACCGACTCAGAATGTGATTATATGCGGATCATCAAAAGGAACTATGGGTCTATCTCGTTTCTTTTTGCCTGTTACAAACAAATGAACAAAGACATAATACCCTGACCACCTTGTGGTGTAGGGTATAAATCATATTTTTCTATGACAAGTCATGATACATTTATCTGGATAATTGGTATTATAGCAGCAAAATTCTACAAGTAAACGAAGTTTGAGTAGGCTCCAGACCGGAATCTAAATTGCCCGGATTAAGAAGATTTGCCATTTATTTGACGAATATTGAAGGGACTGGAAAATCTGAATAACGTGTTCCATGCAACATGTTCAGTGTGAATAAACTTTAACTTACATCTCGTAATAACTCTCTGCGCAATTCGGCCTCATCAAAATCCGAATTTAGTGATGTATGCTCAGTATCGTAACCAGCATCGTTTGTACCCTGCAAATAAATTAAAAATATTTAATTTTGATCACTACACAAATATATATACTTACATATCGCGGTTGTGTCTGTGATATAGAACCGATGGAGACCAATGATCCAGCTATAGTTGATATTGCCGGTTCTATATCAGCCAATGTTTCCTGCAGGCTACCGCGACCATCGATGGCCGTCGATTCTATAACGGTACGAGCTGCCCACATTATTTAAATGAACGCGCTGCTACCAATGCTATCTTGTTGCAACTGGTGTTTGGAAGAAGCAATATATTTTACAAGTTGATAATTCCATTCATCAGCTGGTTGTTGTGGACAACTATGGCTACATTAGACGTGCTTCGTACACAAGTGGTAACAGTGGAAGGATTTAAATAGTTTCGCCTGAAAATATGCAAAAAATGGTAAAATCTTTAATAAAAACTGTTGTCAATTTTCAAAACTTAAATTTAACAGAAGGATTTCAAAAACTTTTTATTCTGCGTTTAGTCAACTCCATAGGCCATTTAAAAGCTGTATCAAATTTACAAGTCTTTTCTTAAAGTAACTTCACAATACAACTCAAACAAATGTACTAAATAGTTCTTCGAATACGGATTAAAGAGTGAAAAATAAACTCCTTAACAACTGCTTCACTGGTTCCAATGTCTCCATATGACCTCTCATGGACTGCTGACTCACTAGTTCAAATGTCTCCATATGACCCGTCATGTACTCTGACTCACTGATTCCAATATCTCCATATGGCCCCGTAAGAACTATTGACTTACTATTGAAAATATCACTAGTGACTTCCGAATGGACAGTATTGACAAAGTCAATAGTAAGTCAGCAATTATTCACCATTGACGTTTCCCACAGGGTTGTTAAAAACTAAGGAGAAGGCTGCTCAGCGTTGTTAAGACCAAATAAAAAAATTTCTGAGTAAGATTTGTTTACAAAGTGGCGGGAAAAGGTCACATGCAGTTTTCTTTTGCTATCAAATCATATTTTTTTATTTTAAATTAAAAATGCATAAAAATACTTTTGTTTTAGTAAATATACACGTATACACCATTTGAATGAGAATTTGTAAAGTATTTGTTATTGTCAAAAATAAGTGAAAAAGCATGAGTTTGACCGGGACGAACTTTGAATAGCCTACAACAATTGCAACGAATTTGGAAATTTACAAAAAAAAATCTGTTAAAATCTTAAAAATACTGAATGTAGCCGTTATACTATACGAAGGTGTGGACTTGCATAGGCAACTTTTGTCATAAGCCATTACAATATTCAAATACAAAACTAAACAAGTAAAAAAGCTGTAAGTTCGGCCGGGCGAACTTTGAATACCCTCCACCATTTGGAACGAAGTTGGCAATTTTCAAAAACAATAAAATTTGTTAAAATCTTAAAAATACCGTGTGTAGCTATTATATTAGGAACCTGCGTAGGTAACATTTGTCATAAGCCATTACAATATTCAAATGCGAAACTTAAAAAAATCGGTTATAATGTCGATAAAATCAAAATATCGAATATCGGGAGGTACCGTTATATGGGGGCTATACGAAGACAATTTTCTTTCATTTGCTGTAGTATCCATTAAGAATTTCAAATACCAAATTTGAAACAATTCTGGTGAAAAATGTCTATAAAATCATTAAATACAGAATATCGGGAGGTACCGTTATATGGGGGCCCTACGAAGACGTGGACCTGCACAGAAAATTTTCTGTCTTAGGCTGTAGTATCCATTATGCACTTCAAAAACCAAATTTGAAAAAATTCCGGTGAATAAATTCGCTAAAATCATCAAAATACCGAATATCGGGAGGTACCGTTATATGGGGACTATACCAAAACGTGGACCTATATGGTCCATTTTCAATACCAAAAGTCCTGTAGACATAACATACAGTCGTTCGTAAGCTAGAGTGATTTCCACAGACGGATAGAGGGACAGACAGACGGACATCGCTAAATCGGTATAGAATTTTATGCTTGTTTCGAGGTGTTACAAACGGAATGACAAACTTAATATACCTTCCATAATATGGTGGAGGGTATAAAAAATGAATAATGTATCTAAAATCATCAAAATACCGAATATAGGGAGGTATAGGCTATCCGAAGACCTCGACTTCCATAGACAATTTTCTGTCACAGGCTGTAGTAGCTATTAAGAACTTCAAATACGAAATTTCAAACAATTTCGGTGAATATTGTACCTAAAATCATCAAAATACCGAGTATAGGGAGAAACCGTTATATGGGGGATAGATGACATCGTGGACCTATATAGACATTTCTCTTCCAGAGGGTAAAGTGCTTAAAATAAATTTCAAGTATGGATCCATTGAAATATGTGGGTAAAATCATCAAAATACCGAATATAGGAAGTATCGTTATACTGGGGATATATGATATCGTGAACCTATATAGACAATACTCTTCCAGGTGGTAAAGCGCTCAGATTGAACTCCTTTTGTGGATTTTCAGACAATTTTATTTGAAAAATTTGGGGGTATATGGGAATGACGAACTTGATGTATTAAACTTCAAATTGTCGAGAACGTCTTAAAGTATGCTAAAAAGGCGGTAGAAACAAATCTGTAAGTCAATTTACATTTGGCTCTAACAACTTGCCTTAACTTTTACTTTTAAACCATACAATTTAGGCTTTAAAATTGCCCTCTATCCATTTAATACCCCCCAACCTGGAAAGAAGGGTATATTAAATTTGTCACTAAAGTATATATATTCATGATTAGCAAAATAATTAAAATGGATTTAACGATGTTCGTCTGTCTGTCTGTTAAAATCACGATACAGCCAACATTATTTGACGTAGAGCTTCAAAATTTTGGCACAATAGTTCGTATTATGTCTAGGATGGCTGGTATTATATAAATAAAATATATCAATCCACGTTTTTTTTAACCACGTTTTTCCACAGATTTGTCTAAAAATTGGAGTGTGTAGTTCGTAATGGTTTCCACTTCGATGGCAAGACATTGAATATCTAGGTTCACGTTTTCCTATTACGCAACCTTGGGATATTCGGTATTTTGACTTCTTGATTTATGCCACATGAAATTTGGTATTAGTACTTCGTAATGAGTTCTACAACCGGTGTCAAAAAATTGTCTATATTGGTCAACGGTTTCCATACAACGGTTCGGTATTTGATATATAGACCAGCATAACAGTTACCCACGAAATTGTGTCAAATTTAGTATTAAGGACTCGCAATATATTACAATCTTTGTAGCATAAAATTTTCATACAAGTTAAAAAGTATCAATCAGTTCTGTCGACAGACGTATACCCTCAGCAAATGTTCGATTAAATATATTTTGACTTCTGTTATGATTATTCAAACTATAGACTCTCTATGGAGTGGGTTCATTAGGAATGGGCCAATATTGTCCATTTCGTATCGGACCTAAATAAATGTGATATAAATATTGCGACGTGCCGGGTGGGGCTATACAGATTATTTCGTATACTTAATATGATTTTAGAAAACGAGGTACCAGATAGTCGACCAGAAGGGAAGAGTACGCAGATATATATCATCTTCACAACAGATCTTGTGTTTGCAAAAATGCTTGTATGTGTGAAATTTGATTAGACTTTGATGCTTATTTCGCGCTTTGTGAGTTTCATGGATATTCAAAATTTAGAGCCTTTGTGGGTGAGATACCAGAAGGATTGGACCGATACATTCCATCTTCACAGATCTTGTGTTAGTAGAAATAATGGGATGCGTGAAATATGAAGAGAATCGGATGCTTATTTCGGACTTTATAATCGTTTTGGTTATTCAAAACTGACCCTTTGTTGGGGAGGTATCAGAGGAAATGGCCCGATCTGTACCATCTTTAAAGAGATGGAGATCTTGTATTGATGGAAATATTGAGATGTACCTGTTGTTAATTTCGTGTTTTGTGAGCTTCATGGATATTCAAAATGTTGACCAATTGTGGGGGAGGTACTTGATGGGGTGGACCCATATTATATATTTTTGCACCTTACCTAGAACTGACGCAAACATTAGGATTTGCAAGGTACCGGAAGGAGTAGACCGAAGTATTCCATCTTCATACCAGACCTTGGGTTAATAAAATTATTGGGATTTTGAAGACAATCGGATCACATTTTATAAGAGTTATAATTATTCAAAATGTTGACCCTCTGTGGGGGAGGTACTTGATGGAATGGACCTACATTGTCCATTCTCGCACCGGACCTAGCACTGACGCAGATATTAGGATTTGCAAAGTTGGAGCGAAATCGGATGATCGTTTCTCTTTCTGTGCAGAAAATATATATTTTTTTTGAAAATTTCGATCTTTTGTGGGGGAGGTACCAGAAATAGTGGACCGATATTGCCCATCTCCAAACTCGATCTAAGTTCGACAAAAATATTACGATGTACCAAGTTTGGACCAAATCGGAGACAGACAGACGGACGGACGGCATCGCTAGATCGACTGCAAATGTCCTGAAACGGATTTGGTCCAAAGAGACCTAAGGTCTAAAACCGTTATTTCGACTGGGCACGATTTGACCGTATCAAATGATATATACCCTCTCTAGCCATATGGCTGAGAGCATAAACATGACAAAATCATTAATTTATTGAAACTGTAATAAATATCGGATTGTAAACATCAAGACACTTTTACCGCCAGTTCCATTCGCTTATATTTGCTATCGTAGTTAGTTGTTTTAATGCAAGACATATTAATAATGTGGCGTTTCCACTGCACTTGATTCGCTCTCTATTCGTTGTTTGACCCTTAACTATGAAAAAACTACATTATTCTTCACACAAAATTTCCTGAGCGAACACTCATATTTGTACGTTGTTCAAATCAAGCCACTCTCAGAACAACGAAAAAATATGTCCCATCCCTAACAAATGAGAGCATTTATCGAAAAAATAAATTATGACATTTAAAAATTAAAAATAGAAAAATTTAATGAAATTTTAAAAATTTTTGGGAAGACTGAAAATTATGAATGAAAACTACAATGTTGAATGGCGTATGTACATTCAAACGAAAGTACATTTTGTTTTCTCTCTCATTCAAGGTACGCATTTTATCGACGAGTTGAAATTTCCACAGAAAACTGCAAACAAAAGAGGCAATATTTTCAAAAGCTTTGTATCGGCAGAAAAAATGTTTGACAAGTGTCTCTCCAGCTAAATTTAAAAATAGAAAAATACAAAAATATGTTCAAAATGTCAACATTTACACAAAAAGTTGAAAACGTGAATGAAAATTATAAAATTAATGATATAATAAATCTTTGGGAGAAAAACAATCATTTCTTCTATTCATATTAGTGAGAATTTCATGTATTTTCGTATAAATTCCCATTAAAATCAA